ATTTTTAATAAATAAACAAATAATTACCAATAGCAAGGTCATAAATAGAAATTCGTGAAACTAACCATTAAATAGACTTAAATCTACCTTGGATTTCAACAGCGCACTATTCTCATTATAATCAGGCACACATTTTCCTTCGCCATTATGGCATATTCTCTATTTTTAATCGGGAACGCGAACGGCAAAGGAAATAATCACCTCGGCACCACCGACACTTTCTTTCCATATCAATTATTTGGTCGAAAAGGGAAAAGCAAGGCGAAAAAGACGAGGAAACGAGAATGTTTCAGTCTAATCTGCATGCCGACAGCTTTATTTGCACAAAGCTTTTTGCCTCGCGCTGGCCAGCGATGCGAAACTGTCACAGTAATCCCCCCCACCCCCAGCCACGCCCCCTAAGCCATTACCACCCACTAAACACTAACCACCGCCCAAATCAGCTTTTGCATTGACTAAGTATGCAACAAGGATTTCAGAGCTGCGGCCGCCACTGCCGCTCAATCATCATTAAAAAGCAAGAAGGACAGGGTGGCAAAGTGGGTGTTGTAGATGGTGGGTGGTGGGCGGTGGGGGTGTGTGGTGGTGTGGATTTAGGGGGAGGCACGAAGATGGATAGGGCTGGAAGCAACGACAACAAACGTCCAGCGGAATCCCTTTAACATTTCCCTTTGGAGGCGACTCACTCAAGCGCCGCAAAGTGCTTCCTCTCTGGCCAAGCCCAAACCCAGGCCCAAAACCAAGTCCAGGACCAAGTCCAAGTCCAAGAAGTCCCTCGCCTCCGGCTCCTGGTGCCTGTTGCTCGAGAAGTGCACGGCGATTAAAATCTTAGCAGGATCTGATACAAATATATGTGATTTTTAAAAATTAAATACAAGAACTGCTCTTGTGACAGTCTACTTATTTCTTATTTAATACGAAAGAATATCAAATCTGTGTCGGTGTATATTTCTTATAAAATCAACATAATATGGATTAAGGATTAAAGCTTACAAAAATTCAATTCAAGTACTAGAAAGTTTTTAATAATAAGGTAAGAAACAATTAAATTAAATTTAATTATCCACTGGTAAAATAGCCAAAAAATGATAGAACTACTTCTTTAAACTGTTTTTTACTCGCAAAACAAATATTTAAATTCCGATTAAGTATTTTTATTAAAATTAATATTTTGCTTGGTGAAATAAAACTTGTAAAATTCAGAGCTGATATTTTGACTCTTTTATATTGTTTTCATATATAGTTTTATAAATTAAATGATATTATTTAAAACTTTTTGAATAACTGTACATAAAATCAATAGCTATTGTACCTTGCCAGCCATAGATTACTTATCAATAGAAAGGATCAAGGCGAAGTTGGTTTATTGTAAAAATTGTTGTTTTACATTATGTTGGGTATAGCTAAGATATTTTCAGAGGTAACATTTAAGTGTACAACATTTTTAAAATATGCTTCAATTTCATAATTTTTTTCTCCGTGTTGATACAAGTCCAAATTGCAATGTCCTCGTCACCATCGTTTTCGTTTTCGTTTCCGGCATCGCCATCGCCATCGCCATCGCCATCGTCATCGGCGGTAGGCAAATGGAAAAAGTTGGCACAATGGCAGGGGCGGGGGACTGGGGGCGTGGCAGCGTCAAATCGTGTGGCCATCCAGCTGTGAGCCAACTTTGTCGAGCAATTATTTTTAGCGCAGCTGGAACGGCGCTCACTTCATCTCGTCTTTGCTTTTGTTTGCCTTTCATATAAGCGAGTGCAAATACTTTTTTAAGTGCCTGTATGCGCTGTTGTTGTTGCTGTTTTTTGTGTTTTTGCTGTTGTTGTTGTTGTTGACAGTTGTCGGTTCGGCCTTTGAAGTGGCATAATATTTGACAAGAAAATGACTTTTCCGGGGGTCCAGAGGGTGACCAAAAATGGGGGGCCAATGGCCAATTGTCGGAGTGTGTATGTTAATGTTTTTGGCCACAATTTGCTGGCCGACACAAGTTGATCCATTGTGGTCAGTGGCTGCCATTGCCGGTGACCTTAATTCGCTGGAAGTCGACTTTGAGTGCTGTCATTTCGAGAATGAAAAAAAAACAACTGGTGTCCTTTGTAGGCTGAAAGGAAATTGAGTACTTCGTACCATGCCAATTTACGTAATTCACATTTCATCATCATTTCTATAATGCAATTAGCAAAACGCGTTTTGCCTTTTTATTTGCCGAAAAAGAATTTTGAATTCTAGGAATTTATCAATATTTTGATATGTACTACATTATTATTAATAACTTTGGCCCCACGTTAAAGGAGAAACACATTAGTAACACAAACTAGAACAAACTTGCTTTCAAAATATTTTTGTATAAAACGAAAGCAATAAATTTCAAAAGTGATATTTTAATAATAATAAAATAATCTTTCTTAGACAAAACTTGTTCTTTTTTTGTTGTTGTTTTTTGTTGTTTTTTGTTGTTTTGTTAAACACACTTTTGATGTTTTCTAGACATATTGATTCAGAGTAATTTCTGTGTATTTATATAATACCCTTTTTTCAAGGGTGTTGTGAAATCAATAAGCAGAATATTCCTTGCTTTCGAGTTAGCTGTTTTTTCCCTTCACTTAAATTTTAAGGAGAAGATTGAATAAAATTTTCCATTTAAATCATCACTGCAATTCATGAAATATTAAGTAACCAGAAAACACATTTGCTTACAAAGGATAAGCTGAGCTCATCACTGCCTTTTAAAGCCCAAATTCCTCCCACTTTAGGGGCTTTCTAATTGGGTTCGGAAATTCGCTTGGCTTAACTTTAAAATAAATTCGTAGCTATATATGTGTATTCAAAGTGAAATGTGTTTCTTGTGTTTTATTGGCTTAGCTTGGAATTTGCGTGCAACCTTCTTTGGGGATTTTAATTTTCACACATATAAACTGAGCATATTTATTTTGTTAATCCAGGGTGGATTTGCCCAGTCAAGCGAACGTTCGTGTGCAAATATTAAGGCCCTAAGGTTTTCTAAAACAAAAAAAAGGTATACACTTTGTGATTCTAATTAGCATGTAGTTCTACTTACGCCAGCAATTATTGGTAGTGGCCATGATTAACTAACAGTCATGAATTAGAAGTAAAAAGTTTATGGTCCATAAAACGAAAACTGCAACTGAGTGGAAAGCTAAAAACAGCGGTAAACTGTTTATGTGTCAGTAATAGTTGGCGTTCCAGTTAAAAGCCGACAGGACGAAAGCAATTCATACTACTCTGTATTCAGCTAATGGCCATTAATTCTCCATTATATATTCGCTTTGATACGGGACCTTAAATTGATTATACACTTTCAATATATTTTAAATACATTTTTTTGTGGCTAAATATATTTTTTTGTTTGATTTGTGTGCAATTTAAATCCGTAATCAGTTAATAAATTCGTAACAAATTCTGGCCCCATTTCCCTTTCATTTTGCGATAAATCAGTGAGCGTTTTTTTCCCCCACCAAGCTGCAACTTGGACCTCCTTCTCGGAATTGGCCAAAAATGGAGGGACTATTCCTCTGCTCACCGCAAGCCAAGCATAACAATTGCTTTTTATTTTATGATCGCTGGCCAAGGACTCGAGATGGTGCTTTGTGGGCGGGGAAAAATCCCCCCGGAAAAGCCCGCCCATTGCTTGTCTTTAATTATGTTTTGGTCCTCGAGTTTTGTGCATTGCCTTGTTTATTTTTATTACTCGGCGCGGCGTCTGCGCCTGTTTATTTACATTAATTTTTTCAATTTACCTTTATTGCCCGGGCGCAGAGGGTCTTTCGGTTCTTGGGCCGGGACTTAATTAAGCTGTCAGCTGTTCCCCGCAAATCTCGACTGGCGACTCCCCTTTAATAATAATTATTTTTATTTATGTATTTGTATTTCGGCTTATTTGGTTTTTTGTTTTGTTTTTTGTTCTGTTTTTTGTTTGTTTGTGTGGACTGAGTGCGACGCCAGGTTTCATTTCCGCTGCATCCTGGCATCCTGGCATCCTGGCTAATTTGCCGTCATCATTGAATTTAGCATCTAATCCACAAATCTCCCCATTTCGCTTTTTTCATTTTTGCCCCGTCTCGTTTGGCTAAGTGGCTTGACTTTCCGGCGGGGGTTAAAATCAAAAATGCCCCAAAATGTCAGGCACTTTTGAAATTTCCTACGCAATTTCCGTTGTCAACACCTTGACAGCTGTCACACACACACACACACACTCTCAAGTGGCACTCACACAGACACACACACACACACACTTGTCAGTTCGATTTGCTTTTGGTTTTGTTTTTTGTTTTTTTCTTTTTTGCGCTTTTTTGCCTAACGGAAGCGGAAATTGTTAGGCTTAATAGACAATTCACATTTCCTGCCCCTTTGAAGTGCTGAACTCAACCTCCTTTCTTCTCGTCCCTGTCCCTTCCCTTCAGTCCGCACAATTGCACAAATCAAGTTCTTCCCGTCGCCATCTCTTCAGTCGGTGGACCAAGCAGAATCACAATAATTATAATATTTAACATCTCAATGGCCAGGCGCGTCCTTTGCCACTCTAATGAGGCGTCGCCGAAGGACATGCATAATCAATGAACGACCAAACGGACGAATGAATTGCTGAATGAATGGGTGAACAACAACGAGCGAACGAGTCGCCAGCAGAGAATTGAATTTATGCGGATGGATAATTAATTAAGGAAATATTTAGTTCTACACAAATTCAGGCGAACAGGGTATTGCGAACTTAGCGTTAAAGTCTGGCAGGTTTTTTGAAAAACTACTCAGGTTCTTTGAACTCTGTACTAAGCTTTTTATATATAAAACAAAACTAGATATTTGCAATTTAATTTTATAACCGAAAGTAGACAACGATTTTTGCAATTAATCAAACCAATTTAATATTTATTTCAATTTAATTAAGGTAGATTATAGAATCTTACGCAGTACAAACGAGATTTACATAGCAACTTTAAAAAACTTTAACTAACACTATGCTTTTTCCATTTTACTTCCAGATACTGTGTGGAATTCGAAGTAATCAAAGCCTCCAAGGCCTGCCACAAGTTACCGCCATACAATTTGATGCTGGAAGGTGAGTACACTGTTCCAAAAATCCACTGCCCAAATTGGAATAAATATTTTGTTATTTTTATAATAAATACCATAGAAATTAAGTAGTTTTTTGACGCAAATTATTAATTAATATACAATAAAGGACGCCACTAAATTTAATATATTTTTTATAATGTAATTAGAAACTAAATAAAAACAATTTAGAAAAGGAAATAACTAAAACATAAATCAAATTTTAGTAATTAAGAATTCGATTAAGGTTAATAACTGGACCATTAAATCAAGTTATAATGTTTAAATAAATTAATTTTGGTTCATCCTCCCCGCAGGCGATCGCATCACGGTGCGCTGTGACCTGGAGGCTTTGATCCAGGACTCCACCGGCAGCTCCACCACCACCAGGACACCCCAAGATCCAGCCGCGCCGCCCACAACCACCAATTCCGTGTCCGGCCAGCGGGCAGCGAACGAACTTGAGGAGGAGCGACAGCAGCAACAGCAGCAGCTTAAGGAGAACAGCAGTGGGAGCGAGGAGGAGCTGGAGCCAGAGGCGGAGGCAGAGGAGGAGGAGGAGGAGCAAGAGCAGGAGCAAGAGGAGCAGGACGACCTGCAGAACGCCCTGGACAGCAACGAGAGTGCCGAAAGTTATCGTCACCAGCGGCAGTCGCAGTCGCAGATGTCCCATTATCGAAGGAGTGCGGGAAAGCGCAGCGTAGTGCCGGTCACGCCCCCGCCCACGCTGGCGCCCACCTACCACTGCCGGGGGGAGGGGCTGGCCGGGCGCACGACACGTTGGAGCGCGTTGCCGGCGCCGTCGTGCCGCGGCAAGTGGCTCCGCCTGACCGTCGGACCGCCCAAGAAGTGCGGCGGCCACGCACAGTTCACCTTTGTCTAAGGCGCTGCATCATCCGGAGATCGTTTTTTTTTTTCGTGTAGGTTATGGTGTACGGCTACCCCGCCCCGCCCAGCCCCTCCCCCTCCATCATATCATATCATATCACCCGCCACCACGCCCCCTCAACCGAACGCCCCCTTCACTTCCGGCCCAGACACAAGTACCCCATCGTATGTAAGCGTTTAAACATTAAGCCAGTGGATTAAGAAGATCATATAGCATATGTGTGTGAGGTCAGTGTTTTTTTTTTGTCTCTCTAGGGAAGCGATCCGGAAGATATAGTCGCACTGCCAGTGAAATATATATATGGAATATTGGGGATTGCCATGCCAAAAGGCAAAGAACAGACCGCAATGGGATATGACATATGAGAATTATAAGAAATTTAGAATTTATATAACTTAAATCAAGTTTGATGTACTAATTGATTTTGATAAATTTGCATAAAATGATAATTTGATAAAAGCACAGCAAGAAAATATTAGAGGATTACCTCAATTCACAGAAGAAAATATGGCGTGCAATTAAAAAAGAAACTTTATGAGGTACCGAAAATTGGAAGGTTAAACATAAGTTGCTGGAAGTCATAAACTATTTTCTTTAGACCTTAAAAACAATATTAAGTCAACAAAAAGCGGTACCGGAATACATAAGTGCATTTTAACCAATTTAAATGTTGTTTCAAAAACTCCTTTGGATCACATAAAGCTTTTTAAACTTTTCCTTATATGTAACTTCTTCATGTTGGTTTTTTTAACGAACAATTTTTTTAAACTCATTCAAATATTTTTTGTAATTTTCAATAATTTATAACTAATTTGCCTTTTTCAAAACTTTAGAATATATACGAATAAGAAAGCAGTAAGTTGCAGCTTTGTAACGCATATATCCGTCACATTTCCATATAAAACACTTGAACCACGGCTGCTGTGGACTTTCTTCGGAGAGCATTTCTCTAAGTAGTTTAGGAAGCCCCCTCGTGTAAGCATTAGGGTCGCTGGCCCAACCAACAAGTCGAAACACACTGGGGGTCCATGAAGCGCTCATCTTGGATCGGATAATACTAGAAACTAGAGACTAAGTCATCAAATACCGCATAACATCGTCGTCAGCGAATTCGGAGTCGGGCTGCGTAGTGACAGAACCTATATATATGGATGTGCATGAGTGTATCTAATCGTATCTAATCGTTAGTTTACCGACTTGCCACTGCAAATTGTCACATAACTACACTCTGTGTGTAGTGCAAGTGGTTGAGGCCATGAAGTCAGATCCCCGACTGGCGGACAACCATCTGGAGTCGGAATTAACGTTTGGAACTTAGCATTAATCTGGACTTTAGGTACACACGAATGTCGAAAGTAATTAATAAAATTATAATTAAACAAATAATGAGATCATTCAATAAAGAACAAGTATAATTTTAAAGTAACCCATTCGACTTTTATGTTCCGGAGTGCTTACAATTTTCCAATCCTCATTTTCCCACAACTAGTTTGGCGAGAGTTGCAGGCACATTGTGTTGAACGAACTATAAAAATAGTGGAGCTCTAGGTTTCTGAAATTCTTAGATATGGAAAAGCTGGCTGCAAAATAGCAGCCCTAATATTGTGATGGGCAAACACAAAATTTGTTATTAAAACACAACCAAACAGTAGCATAAAAAAAAAAAAAATTGGAATAGTAAAATAATTATCTGACTATTGAATTTAAAATTGAACATTAAATATTGAAATTATATATAAAATCATAACCATATTATATTTAAACTAATTCCTCTTTGTGGAATGCATTTTAATTGAGTTAAATATAGTTTTAATTTAAATTATGTTTTCAGATATTTAAATATGAAAATGGTTTAATGAAAATTGAACAATTTTTAAATATTTTCCTATTTAAAATAACTAATATCCGCAATGGATGAAAATCAATGGGAAATTATTAATACAAAATATTTGAATATACTACGTTTTCTTACCAGTGTAAGTAAATCCAATCAAGTAAGTATTTAAATTATAATATTAAATAAATATAGTAAATATGTAACTTAAACAATTTAAATCTGAATATAGTTAAATACCCGTTGAACATTACTTTTTATTTTTATTAATTAAATATTAATCTACAAATTTACATATTTAAAATTCGATTTCTGCTTTAATTGTTTGTTTCTCAATTAAAGTTCGTTTATTTTTCAATAATTTTTTTAAGCATGAAAGGTGAATGGCACCCACTGTGCTTGGCTCAAGTCTCAACTGATTTGGCTCTACCGGTTGACCCAATTACCAGTAGTCAGGTGCCAAACGCTCTTTCTCTCGCGTTGCCTCTCGGCGCCGAGTTCACGGTGAAGGCCAGGGGAAGAAGACAGAGAAACCGAGAAGCCGGGGCTGGAGAGCTGGAGAATTGGAGAAAGAGCCAGCTGGCCAGACGAGGCGGCTACTTGATTAGTCCCAAAGCGATCGCAGACCGACACGGACCGTTGTCGATTAGAATTGTATTGAGTGTTGAGTGTTAAGTGTGCACCTGTCCACCGGAGAAGCTGCAATCCAGGCGAACCGCTAACCGCCGCCAAGAGTAATTCTCTATTTGCATTCTTGTGGTTTCTTTTGGACCGGTGATTCATCAGGTCCATCGAGTTCTTGGTTGTCAGTGTTGTTTCCCGTTCTTTTGGCCGCAAAGAAAGTTGTCTTCGAACATGTTAATTGTGACGCGATTGTACGAGGGGCCGTGGGTTTTTTGTAGCAGTCGATTTCTTTTAACGGTCTAAGTTTGGCCAAAAGAAAGCACTTTTTGTTTAAGCCGATAATCCAATACATCGAGGCGTTTGTCAAATCCCCACTAGTGTTCTGAACTCGGTCTTAAAGTTTAACTCCATTAAGCAGGCTTAAAGTCTATCCGTAAAATAACTCACTTTTTAGGAGATGTCGTCGGATACAACATAAATCAAGTTGGTTTAAGAGTGTAATTAAAGTTCAGAGAATTTCCACATAACTACAAGTGAATTTAAAGTCCATAATAAAGATTGTTATTTAATGCTACATTTGAACCAAACCATTTTGGTCTTTTATACTTTTATTGTTAAATGTTATAAGACATCAAACATTTAAAAATCGTTTCAAGATTAGTGATCACTGAAATCAAGCTATGCCAGCCTAGACTTTTGGAATGTATTTTAAAACTTAAGAACTGTCCGTTTGAAAATGCATATATCTCAAATAAATCTAGAAATAAATTTCAGCATGAAGCCATTAATTTCAAGACTTATTAATTTTTCCAATAAATCATTATTATCAAGATTTATTAGAGATAATAATGGACATACATATAATTATTTATTTTTTACATAGGATTTACACACTATAGTATTAAAACAAATCAAAACACCATAGCTATTTAAATGCATATTAAAACTGTCGAAGGAACCATTAAGTTATTTCTGATTTAAAACAAATGCAATTTGTTGTTGTTGCGTAATTATATACCCTATATGTTATTCTGAAAAAGCACGCAAATATGTGGCCAGATAAGCAGGCGACACTACTGCTGGTAACCGCGATCACCGCTCTCAAATTGGAGGAAACCGACTCATTTAGGCGCAACTTTGATGCGCGCCAAAGCAGCAACTCAAATATTCCGCTGTGGAAGCAACGAGTAAATATAAATAAAACTATAAATATGAGCTTAATCTCATGGGTATTCGTTGTCCACCGCAGGCCTGTGAGAAGTCGCAGAAACAGAAGCAAAATGCACACTACGTGTGCGATGAAAAGGGCGACTTCAAGTGTCTTCCGGGTTGGCAGGGTGATCTCTGTCAGGTGCCCATGTGCCGGCGGGGCTGTGACCCCATGAACGGTATGCTTAACCCCAGCCCCGAAGGTGATACATTCGTGACCCCGCTCTGTGTCCATCCCACAGGTTACTGCCAGCGACCCGGCGAATGCAGGTGCCGCATCGGATACAGTGGCGAGATGTGCGACAAGTGCATCCCGCTGCCCGGCTGCCAACACGGCGGATGCACCAAGCCCTTCGAGTGCATCTGCCAGCCCGGCTGGGCCGGACTCTTCTGCACGGAACGTAAGAAACGCAAGGCTTAACATATCTCCACAAAACGTAAAAATATATGTAAAGAATCGGTTTGTGTATCAACATCCTAGGAAATAACGCTTCTCAAAATTCGGTTTTTGTGTCAAAACAAAATTAATTGTTTTCAATCGATCGGGGATGGATAGTATAGGTTGCCAGCTGTTCAAAACAGCTACTCTTATGACTATGGGTCATTTTTGGGCAAAGTTACAACAAAAAGACTCTTAGGAAACAATTTTGTTTGAAATATCTGCAATTACTTAAAAAATACACATTAAAAACTTGGGTTTTTGTCAAAACCTTCTGATATAATGGTCAAAGACTGGAATGCCATACACCGTTGAATTCGTCATAAAATTTCCTATCGAATGGCATTCACAGTTTAAATTTTTTCAGCTTTTCAAATTTTCGCCAAAAATGATGATGTACCCCCTTACAAAAAAGTGCGAAAATTGGACATATGCTAATTTTTCAAAATAACGCTTTTCAAAATTCGGTTTTTGTGTCAAAACAAAATTAATTGTTTTCAATCGATCGGGGATGGATAGTATAGGTTGCCAGCTGTTCAAAACAGCTACTCTTATGACTATGGGTCATTTTTGGGCAAAGTTACAACAAAAAGACTCTTAGGAAACAATTTTGTTTGAAATATCTGCAATTACTTAAAAAATACACATTAAAAACATGGGTTTTTGTCAAAACCTTCTGATATAATGGTCAAAGACTGGAATGCCATACACCGTTGAATTCGTCATAAAATTTCCTATCGAATGGCATTCACAGTTTAAATTTTTTCAGCTTTTCAAATTTTCGCCAAAAATGATGATGTACCCCAGTACAAAAAAGTGCGAAAATTGGACATATGCTAATTTTTCAAAATAACGCTTTTCAAAATTCGGTTTTTGTGTCAAAACAAAATTAATTGTTTTTAATCGATCGGGGATGGATAGTATAGGTTGCCAGCTGTTCAAAACAACTACTCTTATGACTATGGGTCATTTTTGGGCAAAGTTAAAACAAAAAGACTCTAAGGAAATAATTTTGTTTGAAATATCTGCAATTACCCAAAAAATACATATTAAAAACTTGGGTTTTTGTCAAAACCTTCTGAAATAATGGTCAAAGGCTGGAATGCCATACACCGTTGAATTCGTCATAAAATTTCCTATCGAATGGCATTCACAGTTTAAATTTTTTCAGCTTTTCAAATTTTCGCCAAAAATGATGATGTACCCCCTTAGAAAAAAGTGCGAAAATTGGACATATGCTAGTTTTTCAAAATAACGCTTTTCAAAATTCGGTTTTTGTGTCAAAACAAAATCAATTGTTTTCAATCGATCGGGGATGGATAGTATAGGTTGCCAGCTGTTCAAAACAGCAACTCTTATGACTATGGGTCATTTTTTTGGCAAAGTTACTACAAAAAGAAATAGTTTTGTCTGAAGTATCTATCGATAATTAAAAAGGCATTCAATCAAATAAACATGCATACGTTTTCAAACTATCTTGAATGAAACATCCAACATATTGGAAGCAATCTGATTGCCAATGCAATTACTCACTTACCGGCTTCCTTTGTCCCGCAGCCAGTTGCCGGAGCGGATGCCACAGCACCCGGGGATATTGCGAGGCGCCCGGCGAGTGCCGCTGCCGGATTGGCTACGCCGGACGCACCTGCTCCGAGTGCGCCACGATGCCGGGCTGCCAGCACGGCACCTGCAACAAGCCGCTCGAGTGCCTCTGCCTGCCCGGCTACACAGGACTGCTCTGCCAGACGCGTAAGTCCACCGATTGCTGCAGGAATTCCCCATCCAATGCCCAACTAATTTCCTCCTCCGGCAGCTTTGTGCGACCCCGACTGCAGCAAACAGCATGGATATTGCCGCAAGCCTGGCGAATGCCGGTAAGTAGGCAGCCCCATGTGCAGCGTTTCGTTTGCGAGGCAGGAAAAAAAGTCTAGGAAGTTGCCAAGAGTCTAAGGACTTGACTAACTAAAAGCGTGCCAAGAAGTACTTTCTAAATAACATATTTTTTTTTTGCTTTAAAGCCCATGCAACTGCTGCAAAAATATATTTAAATTTAAATTAAACATTTAACAAGAAGACTCCAAAAGAATTTACATTTGGATTAAGATATTTAATTTAAAACAAGTTTTTAACTATTAAAGACATCGTATTATAATTGTAGCAATCTCTACTTACTCAAGATTTTAAATTGCAAAGGTTGCAAACTGTATTTCCCCGATTCATCAGAATTGATTATATTTTCTATATCCCAAAATTTTTATTATATTCGTTTTTGTCGACCAAACTCACATTTGCATTAGTTGTAGTTGAAAATATGAAAAGCAAAGGCCATACCTTAAAGATAGAAGTCAATACTAATTCAAGTATTCAAATACCGGATAAACAATTGTCCTTCTAAATTTAGAAAATATGTTGCAATATATTTCATTATATTTTCTTAAGTTACCAATGACAAGCTTAATTATGTGCAGGCATCATGTGGAAGTTTAAAGGGTATGTTTTTTTTCACAACACATTTGTAAATACTGTATACTATTTGGGAGACCTAATTAAATTCTAGGCTTTTTCTAATTTAATATTGTATGCTACACATAATAATATTTTTGTGACAAATTTGTTTAAATGGTCATGGCAAAAAATTTCGTATGTATACCTTCAAACATGTTCTCCTTAAAAAATGCTATAGCAATTTAAAGATAATTTTTGTACAAATACGAATCATGTTTATCTGAACTAAGCATAAGTCACTCAAGCCATATCAATTAAGTCACCCATATCGGAGTTCGGACTCTATATTCCCCTGCCACCCTCAATTCTCTCCTCCAGCTGCAAGGTGGGCTGGACGGGCAGCCAGTGCGACAAGTGCTTTCCGTATCCGGGCTGTGCCAACGGCGACTGTGAGGCGCCGTGGGAGTGCAACTGCCATCCCGGCTGGGGCGGAATGCTCTGCGACGAGAGTGAGTATCGGTATCCCTCTGCCCTACATATATCTGACCACGCTGACCCACAGAACTCACCTACTGCGTGGAGCATCCGGACACGTGCGAGAACGAGGGCAAGTGCATGTCGCTGAGTCGCGAGGATGGGAGCTACCGCTGCCAGTGCCGGCAGGGATTTCTGGGCAAGAACTGCGAGATACGGGATGACTTTCTGCTGACCTCGGTGGCGCCACCGCGCATCACGCCGCCCACACCCTCTGAATTGGAATTGGAACTGGACCAGGAGCAGGACCATGAACAGGAGCAGGAGCAGGAGCAGGAAACAGGTGTAGCTATGCCTTTACCCGATGAAAGCACGCTGGGTAACGAGCCGAAGCGCCGGACAAATGACACCGCAGCTGTGCCAACCGCAGGAGCAGGAGGAGCAGGAGGAGTAGGAGGAGCAGGAGGAGCAGGAGGCAACAAAAACACCACTGCCACAAGGACGAAAGTGGTGGCAACTGGAGCTGGCAGCCACAATGCGACTAATGAAGCGTTAAGCGCCATTACAACGAGGCGTGCCACCCCAGTGACACCAGCACCATCGCCATCGCCATCGTCATCGCCATCGTCATCACCAATACTAGTAGCAACATCCGGGGAAAAAAACGTTAAGGGCGATGCAACAAGTGTGGCAGCAGCGACAGGACCTCTGCCACGCCCCACACAGCTCACTAGCCAGGAGCAAACAATAGCAACATTGGCGCCAGCTGCAACAGCAACACCAGCAGCAACAGCAGTAACAGCAACAGCAACGGCTACAGCAGCAATCTCCCCCGTGAGCAGCCACAAGGACAAGCCAAATGTGGAGGTCGAGGAGGAGGAAGAGGAGGATGATGACGAGGACGACGAGGAGGACGAGGATGACGAGGATGGCGAGTACGACGAAGAGGAGGACGAGGACGATGAGGAGGATGACAGCGATCAACTCATACCAAATATTATATAGTTAAGCAGCCGACAAATGGCTAGTAATTCTATTATTTATATCCGGTGCTCATGTAGGGATTTGTTATCTGCCAATTGAAGCATTCGCTAATCTTGAAGATATGTTTCTACAAGAGGTTGAAATTAAATAATTAAAATAAAAAGTATAAAAATGATGCCACAATTCTAATCCATTGAGTACCGAGTATCTCTTTGCTTACTTGTTTTTCTTTTTTTTTTTTTATCATATTTATTAATGGGCCACCCAATTGACAAGCCCAACTTTTGCGATAGATATACATACATATATAAATTGTATTTATTTATGATAATTGTAGGGATTAGGCTAAGCAATTTTCGATTTAACAATTGTCAAAAAAAAAAAATGATAATAATAAAGTTTGCTAATCTTAAGTGCTACAAGAAATCGTTGAATCGAAAGGAGGGGGAAGGAGGAGGAGGGGGGGAGGACCAGAAAGTGGAAGTTCAATTCCTGCACTCGGATTGCACTTGGTTTGCTTAAACTAAAGACAAGGGGAATCGATTGGGAGCGGGTTGAAGAGGGATCAATATATGGCCATCATAGCGCCACCGAGTTGGGGGATTTTGGGTATTTTTTTTTTTTGAGAGGGAGCTGGGGGGGGGGTCACAGAAACCAGCACAACATAAACATCTAAACATACATATGGATCTTCCATATGATCGTTAATAAATATATGTATCTGGTAAAAAGAGACTTATGAAACGTACAAAAAAATGTGTGTGTTTGTGTGTGTGTGTGTGAAATTATTGGGATAATAACTCAATACAATATCGATACGAATAATAATAATTATGGTTGTGGGTATGGTTGTGGGTATGGTTGTGGGGGTTCAGATAGCTAACTAATTGAGCTCCCTCTTGTCGCGCTGACTGATCTGGGCCATGGTGATGTACTGGCGCACCAGGCGCGAGATTTCGTGAGCCTGCTCCGTCTGGACGCGGATGACGCGCTGCTGCATCAGGTTGCCCACCTTCATGTCCAGGAAGAGGGCCCCATCCTCCGAGCGGACCTGCATTAAGACAACTCATTTGAGTACACAACTTTTGAGGAGATGACAGAGGACAAAGTGCTTACCTTGCGCGTGGAGATCACCTCCATGAAGCTCCAGTGCTGCAGTGTTTCATGGGTATTGGGATCCAGGAAGAGGACGCCACGTCGGTTCAGTGCCAGGATGAGGTCCCGCCACATGGGACTGTGGTTGTCCTCCACATGCGGCCCCTCCTCCGCCCAGATGCGCTTAACGGCAAAGAAGCTGCTGCCGAAGAGCGGCCAGGTGGCCAGCACGTTGAGGAACTGGGCCTTCACCTGGCCGGGACTGAGGCTGGCCACCTGCGGCCAGGCCGACTGGACGAGGCCCACCCATTGGGCGGGTCGAATCTCGCGGATGCCCAGCGCCGGCTTGGGCAGCAAGAACTTGATCTCCTTCATGGCGGGCACATGGCTCAGATCGGCGGCGCGATGCAGCAGCGCCGCAATGCGGGCCATGTCCCGGACCATTTCCGGCACCGGCACCCCATTGCCGGGCAGCTCGAGCAGCAGACCCTCCAGATAGTCCGGTGCCACCTGGTTGAAGAGCACCTCCACGTAGAGGGGCATCGGAGCGGGTTCGCGCTTCAGCGCGAAATGCCAAACGGAGCGGCAGAAGATCAGGTAGAAGGGCTGCCCGGACTTGAGCAGCTCCGTGGTCACGTCCAGTATGTACTCGTCGGCGGCCAGCGGCATGGTGAAGGCATCGCCCTGCACGATGCAGTACAGCGAGAACTCCTGCTGTTCTGCCTCCGACTCCACGCCCAGCAGGGCGCACAGTTCGGCGATGACGTCGGCCACCACGGTGGAGCAGCGGGTGTTCACCACGCGCTCCGCTCCGCCGGGCAGGCGGTAGATTTGGCGACGGGCCGAACGGCCGGCGGACACGGCCGTCACCTCCTCCACACTGGGCACGTTCTTGCGGCCGCCGCAGCGGGCCGTCTTGCGCAGATTGGTGAGGCAGACGGCGGCGGTGCCGTGGCAGGAACGCCGCCGGTCGGAGGCCGCCGACGTAAGGTGCTCCATCAGGTACGGACGCAGTGCGTCCGAGCAGCCAAAGTACGCCGCCAGGATGCTGAGCAGGCGCCAGGCGCGCTGCGAGCTGTCCGGACACGGCGACCGGTTGGCCGTCGTCTGCTTCATCAGCTGGCAGTAGACCTCGTCGCGCAGCGCCAAGTATTTGTGACAGTGCTGCAAGATCGGAGGGGAATAAAGTTAAAAGTGTAAAGATAAGTTAGCCAGCTAGCCAGATAAATAAATAGTTCGAGCATTTGGGTAATTCAATTTCGGACAGACTGTTTCGGCAATACATCACCCAACAAGAAAGTTTCACATGGAAATTGATTGGCAGAGAACCAATGGCTAATAGTATGGCAGCAATAAAAATAATGATCTTTTTTTTACCAAAAATCCTATTTTAACAATAAAAATTTCCCGATTTCCCTAAAAATATCACTGTTTTGGTTAAAACAAAAAAAATAATAATCGAGCTGCATATTGTTCATCCATTTTCACAACAAAGAATTAAAACATTAAAAACAATATTTTTTTTTTGTGTAGCCAACAATTAATTAGTAGTGATTGATTTCATTGATGCCCATTATTGCATATTATTTCTTAGCTAACTATAAATTTTTTCAAACATTCAATTTTACAAACCACACGTTATTTAACTTCTATAGCTCATCAAAAATATATGCCTGCACTTCGAGTTACACAATCAATGTAACCTGTATTCATAAGCTAACTAGCCTTTAAAAACTAGTAAAATTTAAAGAGGCTTCAAGTAATGAAAGTTTGTCTGCTAGTCAATTTGTTTTTATTTCAGGAAACTGATTTTTCTTTGTACACAAGTTGACTGGCAGCATTTGTTTATTAAAGACACAGCTTAAAATACTTCCGGTTGCCAAATCAAATCAAGTTTTGCTTAACAGGACTTGCTCATGTGGAAACTCCAATATTTTTCTTTCAATTTTACATTCGTTATACAAAAAATATATAATTTTTTATTTCTGTATGTAGTCGATATAAAAGAAATACATAAACTTTGACTAAATAAATGAGTACTATGGTACTATGTAGTGGGAAAAGTTCTGTTTATGATTATCATTTGTATGTTATCTATGTCATAGAACAACTTTTAAACTGGCGTGTAATGAAAAGTTGTAAAACGCAAAAAGTTCTATAAGCCTTTTCCAACTACTGCTAACACACTACTGTCATGATCTCTAATCCACTTTCGGCACATAAAATTCCTACATACTTGCAAAACGATCTAGAATACGTTTCTCTCACAGCTGGTTTTTGAGGTGTTTCGAGGTGTCCACAATCCATTTCCGTTTGAATTTCTAGGGCACCAAAACCTGTTGCAATATGAGTATTTGCGGCACCCACCTTAATGTCACCGATTTCAACAGGTTATGGAATGAAGAACCCAGAATGAAGAACCCAAAATGAAGAACCCAGAACGTAGAACCCAGAACCCAGAACTCATAGCCCAGAAGCACACTCACCATGAGCACGGTGTAGACGCACTTGACCTCGGTGAGGTCGGGATCCAGCGGAATGTCGCCGCAGTAGCGCAGGATGCAGTCGAAGCACTCGAGTGCCAGCGGCGCCAGGTCATTCGGGAGTCGGAGGAGCGGCAGGCGTATGGCGTGGCCCTGCCACTTGACCAGCTCCGCGTACGAGCGGTTCGCGGCGGACTGGTGCCGCTCGTGGTGCCGGTCAGCGTCCCTCAATTGGCTGTGAGAAGATATAATCTCCATTTAATTCAATTCAAACAATCAGAAAGCCATTATATAATGCGGCTTTAATATGTCGAAAAATCGAAATTAGTTAAATGTTGTGTCCTTAATCGTATAAAGCACAAATAGGAGTTACTGAGTTCCAAAACGGACCACCTAAATTGCATGATTTAATATTAAAGTATTTAATCATTTAAAATAGTTCCTTTTTGATTTAAACTCATTGTAATCAAGTTAAATGTGATTTAAATTTGAATTACATTTTCAGATTTTAAAATCCATTCCGAAAAATAGTCAAAAAAGAAATAAGAAAACCTAACAAAAAATATTTAAAGTGAGTACAAAATATTTGATTTTGTTGCTCATTTTTACCAGTGTATATTAAACATAAGAAGTGGGTCGGTTTTGCCCCACTGCAACGAGTTAACGTGTTAATTTTCCCCCCGATCAACTTACTCGTTGCGGAAGTGCTGCATGGCGAACTGTAGCAGCGAGTACTTGGTGACCGAGGGCGGAGTGCCCCCGTTGGCCTCCTCCGCCAGATAGTTAGCGTCCAGGTCGTGGTGCGGCAGGGACTGCGACTGCTGCTGCTGCTGCTGCAGGATCTGCTCCTGCTGGTGCACTTGGCCGTTGGTCAGCGAGGACGGCTGCTGGCCAGCGTTCGACTTGCGGGCGGAGTGCAGGTAGCTCTGCTGCTTTAGGAAGCGCTGCTGCTGACCTTGACCCTGAATCTGACCCTGCTGCTGTTGCTGCTGGTGATCGGCGGACATCTGCTGCTCCTCCAGGGCGTCATCGAACTGCTGTTGCTGCTGCTGCTGTTGGCTGTGGTGCTGCAGATGGTGGTGCAGATCGGCCTGCTGCACCTGCTGCTGCAGTGAATCGTTCTGGCGCGATCCGCCGCCATCCATGCCGTGCTCGTTGCGCTGGGCGTGCGCCTGGCGGGACTCCAGGCGCTCCAGCGGCACATTCAGCGTCTGGGCGGCGGCACGGGCTCCGGACGACAGGGTGGACGCCTTCGATTGTGACTGCAAGGGGAAGGAAGGAAAGATCTCAGTTATGGATACCAGTATTTATGATTTTCATCCTAGGCCAACATAGTAATTACACATTTATTGCACTTGTGTATAAACATTAAATATACTAACAAGTGTATTATTTTAAATTAGTTTGAAGTATCTAAATACATTTATTATTTGTTTGTTTTTATTAATTATTAATTTTTATTGTCCATTGTGCAAGGTAAAACTTATATTTATTGCACTAGTGACAACGTATATTAAATATTAATTTTTCACTTACTTAACTATTTTTTATATTGTTGTTTTATTTACATCGCATCTCTTAAGATTTTATTGTTAGATCATCACTTTGTCAAAAGTCCGGATAACTAATTAATTAACGTAATCGCCATGGCTTTGCAAAAAAGATTGT